TGAATCACTACTTTCCTTCCTGTAGATAGTTTTACATACTTGGAAAGCATTAAACAACTACATTTCTTTCATTAATGAGATACAACCACAATGTATTTATTGATCTACAAACAGCTTTATTAGTTTATACACATAACACCCCTCCCCAGGTATTTCTTATCGCTTACAAAGTCTTCCAGCCCTCAGCACTTTAACACAAGCTTCACAAATACCTAGGATTTACTTTATTAAATGTGTTCCAACACTACCAGTTATCTGAGTTGCACTATATCCTGAAACTATGTAAAACAACAGCAAGTTCAAGACTAGGATGACCGATTAATTTATCAATACTCTGCAGTGGTGTGAATGAGAATGGCTCCCATAGGCTTCTATATTTAAATATTTGGTTCCCAGTAGATGGGCTACTTAGGAAAGATTAGGAGGAGTGGCCTCGTTGAAGGAAATGTGTCACTGGGAATATGGAGCTTCAAAAGCTCAGCCAGCCCTAGTGTAGCATATTCTCTGCCTGCAACTTTCAGATATGAGCTCTCAGCTCTTTCCAGCATCATGCCACTGGCAGGCAGCCACGCTCCTGCCGTGATGATTATGGACTAACCCCTGCAAATAGTAAGCAAGCCTCCAATCAAATTATTCCTTTTGTAATGCCTTGGTCATGGTTTCTCTTTACATCAACAGAACAACTAAGATACCTTGTTTCAAACATTACATTACAAAGGGCTAAGGATATAGGTCACATAAGACTAGGCACATACCTGGATTCAACCTAGTACTGCAAAAACAATGATTTTTTTCCCCCTCAGAGTTTCTCTGTGTAGCCTTGACTGTCCTGGAACTTGCTCTGTAGATCAGGCTGGCCTCAAACTCACAGAAATCTGCCTGCCAAGTGCTGGGACTAATGGTGTGCACTACCACTGACTGGTGTTATTAACATTTTTTGAGGCAACTAGTTTTGTAGTTTACACTCTAGTGAGAAAGGACAATACGGTGAACAACTATCACACTGAAGAGCTGTGATGGGGTGTGGCGGTTACCTGTGAGGAAGTCACACTTGTTTAGAAGTCCCCTTCAAAAGTATAGGTGGAATCCTTCAAGCAACTCTTAACCAAAGGGTTAAAAATAATATAAAGAGCCCAGACATTCATTTGTGTGTCTGACTTCCATTAGCTGGGAATCTAGGGATGGAACTCAGCTGGACCACCAGCACCTTTACCCTTGGCCCCATACATAAAAAATTTGCATTACTCTCTACTGAGTTTCTCGTTCTCCTTTTGAATACTAATTACTTTTCATAAGCACCTTCATTGATGTATGTGTGTGTTTGAGACATGCCTTCTAATTTAAACCAACCTTTCTTAGTAATCTTAGCTAATATTAACACTTTCAATACTTCTGCCCAAAAACATCAAATAATGGTTAAAAAGTAACTACACCTGAAATAAAATGGTCTCACTGAACAGATCCTAATGAACGTTTTAGACAGAATCTTATATATACTTCATAGATAAAACGAGTGAAAAGACATTGCTAGAGTGTGATCAGCAGGAGAATCACTGGTGAACTAGAAGTGACAGGCTCTGCAGAGACTCACAGGTCATGCACCTTCAGCGAGCGACCTGTAACCAGCAAGGCTGGGAGAGCCTTCCTAAGCACACTGGCTCTTTGAGACATGCTGCCACCACCTGGGCAGTAGACAAGTTTTACATCAGGGATTTTACTTATGATCAGTTAGTAATGATAAGACTCACAAAACTAAACAAACAACAACAACAACAAAAACCCAACACTTTGTGAAAAAAAAAGCATTTTTCCAAGCTTCTGAGGGTTAGGAGTGAACAGGGATTTTGACGAGACACATTTAGAATCCTGCTTTACTTTTTAAGTCTCTGGTTCCTTATCTGCAAAACCAGTATAAGAACAACCTTTGATGGGTGAGTTAGTCTCAGGATTAGTGACAGCATGTGAGAAACACTGACCTCAGGACTTGGTACACAGAAAGTACTCAATTGATTTTTACAAGTTTGTATTCTTCAGCATGCTCTTCAAAACATCGTGAACTCAATTAGTTCTTAAAGATACAGATATGCCTACTAGGAAATCCATTTGCATTGTGTTTGGGTGAAAAGCAAAGGAATGAAAATAAATGGTTATGAAATAAAATCTCAGGGATAAAAACCAATTCAACCCAAAGAAGTGAAATATGTAGAGTTACTGTAGTTACTGTAGGGAAATAAGCCTAAATACAGGTCAGAGACCTTTCAGCACCTTTTAATTGGAGCAAATAATTACACTACAGTAAAAAGACTAAAAAAATTAGCAAATGACAAGTCTGCTGGGCATTACCTTCTCAAGAGAAAAACATAACAAACTTACACTTTTTTTTTTTTGGTTTTACGAGACAGGGTTTCTCTGTATTGTTTTGGAGGCTGTCGGCCCAGCCCAGCCTTGAACTCACAGCAATCCGCCTGCCTCTGCCTCCCGAGTGCTGGGATTAAAGGTGTGCGCCACCACCGCCCGGTTCAAACTTACACTTTTTAAGGCTTCCTGTAATAGCTAACATTGTGTAGGTCTTCCTTCACTTCAGAGTTCCCTTTGTGGGTGTGTTTTCATCTTGAACACACAGCTCTTCCTAGTCCGGACTTCTTAAGGAACTACCTTAACACCCTACCTCCTGAGACAGGTTCTCAAACTCACCATGTGCTGAGGAAGACTCATTTCCCGGTCTTCACCTCTCAAGTCTTGGGGTTATAAGTGTAAACTATCACACCTGGCTAAAAAACAAGGCAGAACTTATTACCAGTTATCTAAAAATGACTTTCTGAAGAACATTTAGGAGAGAATAAAAACCAAGCTAAGAGGACAACTGTGGTGGTGCGTGCCTATAATCCCATCACTTGGGAGGCTGGGCCAGAACGATCCAGAGTTCAAGGCAAGCCTGGGCTACACAGCACGTCTCTTGTCTGAAAAAACAAACAAAACTACTACCACTCCTGCCCTCTGGAAAAGGATAAGTGCCACAGCCAGACCCAGTCGGGACCCCCTCAACCCAGGGAGAATCACGGATCCGGTACTCAGGTGGGCAAAGAGTCGGCAAGAGACAGACAGGAAGGTAAGAGAGTGCTGAATCTGAGTGTAATTTCTCAAAGCATGCATCAGACTTTTATAATCATGACATGAGGAAGTAAAGAAGTTAATTTTGTACATATGTCAAAGTACATTGGAGTCAGCAAAATCGGCACATAAGACCCATCATGAGACTAGAAATTCAAAAGAGAAAATCAAATACACAAGAACTGGTAGTAGTCAGACAATGGTTACAACATGATAACATCAGCTCTGTCTGAGATCAACCTATTCTTAGAATTATTACCCCTGTCTCATGGGCATATGCCCCAATCACAGTCCCAATTCTTGGTCCAGTGCTTAACCCATCATTGGCCTGCCTTCTCTAACTTTCTGATTATACTATTTTGTGCCTTGGATAATAGACCAAGGGGGTCTTGCTCTAGCAAGTCTTTCCATGAAATTCAGGGTATAGTGCAGCACATGTTCTTCTCCTATTATCTTCTTCATCATAAATTCCAGTATAAGAAAGGGGAGCAGCCGTTATCCTAAGCATTTGGGGGAAATTCTCTATTTATTGGAGGAGCCCACCATTGGCCCCTGATTTTGTTTCTGGCAAGGAAGTTGGAACATCAGTGGTGGCCAGAGAGGAACATCTTTGGTTAAGGCAATGCAGACCACAGTTAAGTGTGTACTCTGTGGCAACCTCTATGCTCGTCCTAGGCTTGCACAAGCCTGCCTAATACACCATAAGATAGGTCTGTAAAATTAGATTATAGCCAGAGGCTTGCTTCTTTGTTGTGTGTGCACTATGTATGTGTATGCCAGGAAACAATCATCTTGGTCCTCAGGGGCTACCTTTTCACCCCCATGATTCCTGGGGACCCCGGGACCTTCAGAGATAAAGCAGAGGAACACACTGGGAGGCGGCACTTGTGAGAAACCATCTACTTCAGTGAAAATCTCATCAATCCAAGCCGGTTTGCTTGTTCTGGCTAGTTAAGCTTCAGCACAGGTCTGAGCCATCCTTCAGGTTTTCACACAAGAATCAGAAAACAGCTGCTGCTAATACAACACGCAAACATTAGCATATACCCGAGGAGCAGTATTTTAGATCCTTAGATTATCTGCCAAAGTCTGCTTCTTGGTAAATAATGGTTACTGTTGTTATACTTTAACTAGTCAGACATGTCTCAGCCTGCTCCTCAAAGAGAACACTCACAGTCTCTCAGGAATAAAAACTTGCTTTATTTGGCACACAACAGTGAGGAGGTCTTGCAACATTTGCCAGAGGCAGTCAAACAGAGCAAGTAGTTCAGGCAAGCAATCACAAAATTCGAGCACCAACCAAACCAGAGCTAATCTTTCAGTTCCTGTAGATTAGACCTATTGAACGCACCCCTTTCTGCTTGTTGACTTTTGCGGCCCTTTATTTATGTATTGGAAGAACAAGTACTTCTATGGGATCTCTATGCCCTGACAATTTAATTATTGATAGTTTACTTTGGGCAAGTATCGACCATTCCTTTGTGAAATAAGCTAGGCTCTTAAATTAAAAACAAACAACAAAAGCTCTTTCCCACAGCGTGGCAGCATGTTCCCCTGGTTACAAGGTCCACTGGCCATCTCCCGGCCCGGCAGCTGCTTTGTCTGAATATTTAACTATCGTTCAACCGTAATGCACGGGGGAGGTGTGAATTAGGGAACAAGCCAGGGTCCTTCCATGGCCGCGAGAAGGCTCCAAGAAGTCTGCGGGGTCCACTTCATTCCTTGCTGTAGTTCTTTGGGTTTAGTGTCCCCAGTGTGAACACCTCGCCTTCCACAGCGTCCCATTCAGGACGCGAGCTCACGGTCCCCACCCGGCAGCACACAGGAGGACGCGCGCGGCCTCACCTGCCGCTGCCCGGAAACCACCGCGCCGCGTCGCCCCGCCCTCCCGCTCCAGCAATGGCGCAGCCGGAAGCCTGCCCGGGACTTCCTCACCCCGCCTATCCCCGCCTGTGGGCGGGGCCCGAGCGGAGCGGCTTCCGCCTTCTCCTTCCTGCCTGGTGGTGAGTGGGGATGGGAGCGGGAGCCCGTGGGATGTGCGTGTTCCCGGCGGTGGCCGTGGCTGGGCGTGTGGCGGGGCCACCCCGGCTCCCCGTGCCCCTGGCCGGCGGGTCCTGCTCGGCTTCGCTCGGCGGGACGCCGCCCTGCGCCTGTGAGGCCGAGGGATGGCGGAGGACGTGGCCCGGGGCGCGGGGAATCCTAAGGAGGGGAAGTTAGCCGAGAGGCTGGAGGTTTGGAGCCGCCAGGTGCAGCTCCGGGCCCCCCAGGCTTTTTGAGGTGGAGGAGTATGCCTGAAAGTGACGCGAGGATGTTTTGGTCTGAGACTGAGCCGCACCGAGATGTGTGGCCTGTGGTCGACAACTCTGCCACAGAGCGAGCCCTTGAGTCGCGCTGTTCTATCCGCAAAGTTACTTGCTTTTTGCTGAAACTTGTGCTAGTTCGTGACCGGGCTGGAGAAAGATCGGACCCTTCTGGACCTTCCTGCAACCCGGTTACAGCTGGACGAAGATGTCGTGAAATGAATGGGTCAGGATGATTAACGTCTCAAGCAAGTTTAGTATATTGAAAGTAGAGGCACGCTTTCTAACAGAAATACGAAGAGAGCGTGGCGTGGGAATGTGGGAGTTAAAACTAGTGGCAGTTTTCTTGATGTGACGGAGTTGTGGGTACCAAAATTATTTTGGTAGCCTTTACTTTCCTTTAAGGTACACTAATCGTACTACAGCCCACGAAGCCTTTAAAGAGCAAGTCACAGTGACTTTCTAATGATGTACCCAATCCAGCGAATAAATGAGTACTTAAGCACAAACATTTTAAGCTCTGGACTGGGGATGTTGGTCAGCAGTGGAGAGCCTGGCATGCTGTAGGCCTTGGGTTTGGTCCCCAGCAATAGAGACAAGGGTTCAAAATCTCTATGGGTATGGCTCCTGTAACATGTCGGCAAACAAAGCTTGTCTTTTTATAAGTCAGTGAATGGTGCATTTTATTATTCAAATTAAAGGTAACATAAGTTACTTAAAATACTTGGTTTCAGTTAGCAATTAGTACCTTATTTTGGGGCATTTGCAGTTGCAGTAAATTAGGAAGGGATAGGTCTTTACTTGTCATGTATGTTTTATGAGAATTTAGAGATTTTTCCCCCATTCCTACTCTTAATAGTTAGATCTTAATTTCCTTGTATTTTTTTTTTCCAACTCATCGACTGTATAGAATTCAAACCTCTCCAAAGTGTATGGTCAAACTAAAGAAGACAAGAACCAATACCATCTGAATTGTGACTGGCTCGCTGATATTCCTAGGAAAAATTAGAGATCACTACTCCAGCATAAGGTAGATAATTTAAAAAAAATCCTAGCTTGAGATTTTAGGTGGTCGAATACAAATATATATATGCATTGTAATATGTATTGTAATTCAGCCTGCAATTGAACACAGAGTTTACTGCTGGGCAAACTAGAAAATGCCTCTGAAGTCCTCACCATCTCTTACCAGATGACCCCTCTCTTATGAACTCAGAAACAATAAAAATCATAGCGATTACTGTGAATACTTTTTTTTTGTAGGTAGGGGCTGTCAAAATTGAAAGCCTGTAACCTAGCAGTCATTTTTTGCTCGATATAGTAATGTGGATTTAGCATAATGGTTTTCTTACCTAAGTTCTAGAAATAGCTATTACTCCCCTTTCTCTGAGAATTTATGGTCTGGCTTGAGAACTCAGACATGAGTTTGATTTGTCCTGTGTTAATTAGTACTTAGCAGTACTCAACACATGACAGGGTTCAGCCCTTCCTGAAATGAACTTGTGAAACTCAAGGTCCTCGCTCTTTCTTAGTTTGTTTTGGGTATCATAAAGGCATGGAGAATGTCCATAGGACACAGTCCATTTGGCCTTTACCTTCTATACACTATTTGTGATGCTTCATTTGAACTGATTTTCCTAAATAGAGATGATATTATTATTATTATTTTATTATTATTATTACTTGGTTTTTTCGTTCGAGACATGGTTTCTCAGTATTGCTTTGGAGCCTGTCCTGGAACTCGCTCTGTAGACCAGGCTGGCCTCGAACTCACAGAGGTCCACCTGCTTCTGCCTCTCAAGTGCTGGGATTAAAGGCATACGCCACCACTGCCCAGCCAAGATATTATTTTTTATTAAAATACTGCTAGTTAATATTTTAAAAAATGAGTGATAATGGAATTCTGCTTTAATTGGATGCTACAACTTTCAGGATTTGATTAACCATACAGTCTTCTGTTTTTTGCCTTGCCTCCATTCTCCAAGCCCCAGTTTCCTGCTTGCTACGAAGATGCTTGATATAAAGGCTTGGGCTGAGTATGTAGTGGAGTGGGCTGCCAAGGACCCATATGGCTTCCTTACAACAGTTATCTTGGCCCTTACACCACTGTTCCTAGCCAGTGCTGTACTGTCCTGGAAGCTAGCCAAGATGATTGAAGCCAGAGAGAAGGAGCAAAAGAAGAAACAAAAACGCCAAGAAAACATTGCAAAAGCTAAACGACTAAAAAAGGACTGAAGGAGTGAACAGACTCTGCAACTAGAGAAAAATCATCTGGAAAATTCTGCAGGACTCACTAAGGTTCCAGTAGATTTCATGATAGTCTTATTTAATCTGACCGAATGGAAGTGTCATGTTCTGACCTCAATACTTTAGTAACTTTTAGGTTTTGGAAACAGAAGCTTGTTGGAACCCACTGACAAGTATTTAAGTTAGCATTTATCATACAGGTGGAGCATACCCTAATGTGAAAATTCAAAACTCGGCACTGTAAAATCGTAACACCTGTGTTCAGACATGATGCCGAGAGTGAAAAATCCGACGCCCTATTTTGTGATGGGTTGCAGTGAAAATACAGGTGCGCTCAGAAACACACAAGACTACCATCAATCCATGAGAAACATAAATTAACCTTATGTTTACATTTGGAAAACATCCCTCCCATCTAAAATGGAAAAAATAAAACATTACTGGTCCCAAGCACTTTTGTCTGCTTAACCTGAAGTAAAAATTCTTTAAACTGTCATTTGCCATTTTGGAGCTTAATGTACTCAGGTAAAAACCACCATGTAGAGAAAATGGTTTTAGATCATGAATCCTATTTAAATGGTAGTTTAAAATGGGGTTCAGATCTGAACAGAGGATATTAGGAGTGTAAAAGAAAAGTTTACTTTGGCTTAAAAGAGATAAAGTATTTAGTCACTATTTTAAAGTCATTGCTTATTTTTTTGGAATGGAAGCATTACTGACTTTCTCAAAGGAAGATTTTATTAATGATTATGGCTATTTGCACTCTTATGATATCAGCCCTGAACACAGCTGGCAATGACCCAAGACATTTCTTTAGTTTAGAAACTCATGTATGCTTCTCATTATTTTGATCATGGATAGGACTTTTGTACTTCGAATACCGCCCTTTTCTTGAGTGAGTTAGAAGAAGAGTAATATGATTTAAAGCCAGCGGTGAAAATGCCACATGCTTTTGATACCTGATTTTTCTTATACTCATTAGAACTGTGATATAGTTAATGTCACCAGATAATCTGCTGATCGCATAGACACTACTTTTGTTTTCATTCTTTTTCTAACTAATAGGTAGTGATGCCCCGTTACTTTTTACTCATACAGGTTCTAAGAGAAAATAAAAATTTCCAATTTATGAAGTCATACTTTAAACCAATAAAGGTTTAAATTTGGGAGAATTTTCATGGGTGTAGCAGTGATGGCAGGAACTGCAATAAAATGGCAAGTATAAAGTCAGGGAACTTTCAGTGTCAAAGACCCTAGAGACCATTAAACATGTATGTTTTAAATGCATGGCCCAGTAACTATCCATTGTGGTATTTAACTGCTTATTAATGTTTTCTGTACCTCTGATAATGAATTTTAAGTGACAGTAATTGTCAAAGTCTTAGTAAAAATGAAGCTAAATATTGAAATAAATTTGATACATTTTTATAAAGAGGTCTTGAGTTTTTGTGTTTTGTTTTTCGAGGCAGTTTCCTCTGTGTAACAGCCCTGAGTGTCCTAGAACTCACTCTGTAGACTACTGACCTCGAACTCTGCCTCTCCATTGCTGAGATTAAAGGCATGTGCCACCACGTCTTTTTGAGGAAGGAGTAATCATTTAAGTTATGTATGTCATTCGGGTTAAGGCTTCAAAAGACTATGTATTTCAGTCACAGCTAAATGTGCTAGATACAGGACAGTGTTTCTCAAAAGAAGCCAGTACATTTTGTTAGGGTTGGAGTCCAATTACTGAAACCAAACATACAATAGCCCTCAGTTACCCACTAAAGCTGAGGTTGCCTTGGCTTCGGAAAATTAAAGGCATGTATTTCACTAACAGTCTGGTTTTCTTTAATTTCTCTTAATGTGGCAACTTTGTATTTGATGTAAGCTATTATTTCTCTAGCCTTTTCAAACATCAACAGTGACTTTGTATGCATGAGGTCAACAAACATTTAAAATATGGGGGGGCATGTTGTGTGCTCTGTATAAAGCAGAGGATACTGTTAAGTTTGGGATTCTTCAGAACACTCCATCTTTTCTCACTGAGAAACAGTATTACCATAGGAGGAGTCTTCTTATCCATAGTACTTTTTTTTTTTTTAAAAGAAATGCCTGCTTGTCATTTCTGAATTTTTGAAAACTAAGTGCAGTTGTTAACCCTTTCATGGCTAGAAACAAGCTGTCCTGAGGGCTGTCCAAGCATTCTGCCAAAATGCTGAGGAAGAAATCTGATTTTCCTTCGGAGTGGTTACCTTAATGTCTGCATCTGGATATAGGGTCATTATGATTTATTACTTCTTATTTGGAATAATTATTTAAGGCCAAGCTTGGCATTTTCAAACAGAGTGGTCAGATATCAAAGTTTTGAAAATGCAAGTGGAACTTGGACAAGTTTCTTTCCTTTATAATTTCTTGAAGTCTCAGTTGACTTCCATGGCATCTACATGCCTTTTTTCAAAGAACATAAACTGTTTTGAAAAGTCTGGTTTAAATAAACTCAGTTATATTTTAAGTAATGTGTTTAATGAAGTAGCATTAAAAAGATCAATACAGTAGTAATTGGTTCAAGGTTAATTAAGAAACGAGAGCTTTCTGTGTTGATTAAAAATGACAATGATTATTTCCTTAATTTTTTATTTTTTGAGATTATAGTTACATCATTTCCCCCTTCCCTTTCCTCCCTCTAAACCCTCCCATGTTCCTGAACTCCAACCCCTGCCCTCTTTCAAATTCATGGCCTCTTTTTCTTTGTTACATATGTGTGTGTGTGTATGTATGTATGTATTCCTAAAGACAACATGCTCAGTCCATATAGTTACTTCTGTGTATATCTACTTTAAATGTAGGCATAGCTAGGTTATATGATTAACTTGGAATCAGAAACATCTTTTTATGCTTTAAAGTTTGCACAGCGTTATGCCCACCATTGCAGAAGGATCCTATAATATTTTAGTGGAGGCATGGAAAACTGGAAGAATTTAGCTCTGAAAAGTATATATTTAAGGTATACCTAAAGTTCTTTTGTTAGTGTGAACATTTTCACTCTCGAGACTAAAAACTTAAAATAGGTTAAAGTCTGTTTTTCAAGAGACATAATAAACTTTGAAGTGTCTAGAAAATGAAATGTGTCAGGCAAGCTATTATTTAATATTTAAATTCTACTTTGAATGCTCCATAGCTAGGTGGTTTTTAACAAGGAAGAAGGCAATTGAGGCTTGGCATGTTGCAGAGGCAGATGGATCTCTGAATTTGAGGCCAGTGTGGTGAATACAATGAGACCCTGTCTCTAAAAACAGAACCCCAAGGTACATGCTAATCAGGCCAAAAGTCTATCTTACTATGTAGGAGATTCAAATGACTGTTCCTAAGTCATCTACCAGCAAACCTAGTACTAAATTTTCTTTGAGTCACATGTTCTCCCAAGTTTTCTTTTTGAAATTCGAATCCTACCTCCATGTCCCTTTTTAGCAGCTGTGAACACCCACTGTTGTCCTCATGTTATCTGTGGTGGTTCCTTGAGCCCGAGAACCTTACATGTACCAAGTATTCACAGTGGCATGGCACTTGCAGCAGTGTAACCCAAGGAAGGAAATGATTAGTAAATCAAGTGTAGAATTCAAATTGAAAAATATTTAGGCTTCTGTATGTACAATGTCACATTATACATAATAATAACTCAAGCTTTATGGAATATAGGGTGCATATTCAGGAAATACAAAGTGATCAACTTTTACCCATTGTTTTATTTGTTAATAGCCATGTCCACATAGATGAAACGACTTTACTGTAGTGCACTCATTGACTCTGTCTTTTGCCAGCTTCTGGCATCCAGGATCCTGGCTGAAAAGTTTTCCCAGTGCTGGTGGGAGCCGCTGAGGGTTCTTCCTTTCCAAAGTATGGAGCAGAGGCATGTCCTTTAATCTGAGTTGCAGCAGGTGCAGGCAAGAGTTCCTCGCTGGTTTCTTTACTCAGTTTGTCTTTTTCATAAAAATCTTTGCTTTTTATTTTAATTTCTTCTCTGTATTTTTCATTCTTTAGTATTTCCTGCACATAATAATGGGAACAAAGTAAATCAAAATATTAAAAAATACTGCATTACATGTATAGGTTAAGACTGGGAAGGCTTTTGATTACATACCAGTGCTGAAATATCCTATGTTTTATGTTACAAAATAGAAAAATGTTTACTACTTAAAAAGTGAAACAAATGTTACATAAGAATCTGAATCACTCCCCCAAAAATAAGACTCAACATCTTCACTGAAGAGAAAGATGTGTGGGAGTATCCTAGAATGCTACTCCAGCCTGCAACTCTTGTGTCCTGGGAATTAACATGTGAATGTTAAATTCCCCTTCTATAGTGCCACATCCAAGCCCGACTTTGGTAGTTTGAATGTAACTGGTCCCTATAAGCACATAGGGAGTGGCACTATTAGAGGTGTGGCTTTGTTGCAATAGGTATGGCCTTGTTAGAGGAAGTGTGTTACTGTGGGGGTGGGCTTTGAGGGCTCGTACCATTTTCTGTCGCCCATGAGTCCAGATGTAGGACTTCCTTACTATATCTCCAGCACCTTGTCTGCCTGCATGCTTCCTTCCATGAAGATAATGGACTAAATCTCTGAACTGTAAGCGAGCTACCCAAGTAAATGTTTCCCTTTATGAGAGGTGCTGTGGTCATAGTGTCTTTTCACAGCAATAGAAACCTAACTAAGACACCTACCTACCTCTAGTTCCTAGAGTGGTCTAGTGAAGGGGGACAGGAGCAGCATTCACATGTCCTAGATAGACACTAGCTACAAAGAGGCACTTTACTACTGGAAATGCTTCTTCAAATCAGTTCAATTTGCAGTGAGTTCTGCAGCTTTGCCCTGACTAGGATCTATACTAAAAATTACAATGAATCTTTTATTGTGTTCACTAAATACAAGACTGTCACATTTAAGAGCATCGTTACATATATCACCCAGAAAAGGCAATTAAATCCTTTAGCTTTTAATCCTTACCCCTGTGGGGTAAGAAGGCAGGATAAGCATCGTTCACATAACTAGTCAATGACAAGGGAAACAGGGTAAGAAAGACAACTGGAAAGCTAGAGGGCAGAGAACCAGAAAGGTATGAAGCACCCACATTTCAAACCTAGCTCCCTGGAAAGGAAAGTGTCAATTAAACTGGGAGAGTGTAGACAGCTTCCCCAAATACCAAAGACCAGCAGTTGTAGTTACAGGGAAACACAGGATTCTTACAAATTTAAATCCAGCATAGGGATTTAGTCTGAAAGTGACCCACTCTGTGGCAAATTAGCTTTCAAAGAAATCCACCACATAAGCACTATAACAGGGAGTCATCTGGAGAAAGGAGAAGGGGTCAGTTGTTAGGGTCTAAGTTACTCTGGGGGTCAGAAGACATGGAACAACTATAATTCAGGGTTCCTTGGGACACCCTGTTGCACTGGCTGGGTGAGCAAAGATCTGTACCCAAAAGGGAGAGCATCTGGTTATGGTTTACTATGGAGACCCTTCAGAATCAGTTGGAAAATAGAGATAAGCGTACATTTAAAAGAAAAGTCATGACCAGGAAGCCAGCATTTTGGAAAACACATAAAGAAATCAGTCCCACAGATAGGAAAGTAAGCGAGATAAGCACAGTTATAAGAATAAATGCAACAGAGCAGCAGGCTCAAAAGATTAATTTTGTAGACAAACCTGTAAGATAAACAAGGGAGGAAGAAGTGGACACAGGTTACTTAGACCAGATGAAAAACAAGGTGACAGAAACTAGCCAACAATACCTTTTAATAGCCCTGAGTGTAAAGGTTTCACTTAAAGGACATGGGGTGGCTGAGTGGATTAAAGACAAAACAAAAAACTAAGGCACAACAATCTGTTGTCTGTATGAAATTTATCTCATTTCATTAGTAAAGCAAAACACAAACCGAGAGTTTGGAAAACGGTATTCCAAGCTAATAGAATCTGAAATGAAGAATGGATAGTGATAAGAACTGGATCCCCAGTTATTGGGCTCCTTTGCTGATAAAAAAAAAGCCAAATCAAATGGAATTAATAAAACCAGGTTTAATGAATAGAGCAAAGCAAAGCAAAGCAACTTCTGGGTGACTGCAGGAGGAAGAGCATGTGGAGTCTGGTGGTTAGGTCTTGGGCAGACCTGTGGGAGGAGCTGACCCTTAGCAGGCTATTTTTGGGCGGGGTCTGGAGAGAGCAGCTCCAGGGAGCTGCTGCTTGAAGCACTGAGGGTGGGGTTTACTCCCCATCCCCCTTCACCCCCACTTAGGCTAGCGATCCCCAAGAATCTAAAGACCATCAGAGCACTGTCCAATGACTGTGTCCCTACCACAGCAAATCCTCAAGCTCTGCGGACCTAGTTCACTCAGGGTAAGCACAGCCTGGAATGCAAGAGGCTGAAGAATACTAACCTCAAGGAAGAACTATGCTG